CACCACTCTTGTAGCGCCAGACCAGCTCCGCTGGAAGCTTGCCGACGCCCCTCGGCACCAGCGCAGGCTCAATTGGTTCAGGCGGTGGAGGGGCGCCATCTCCGACCGCAGCTGGCAGGGCGGGCGGCGGATGGCCGGCGGGCGGCGGCAATGGAGGCTCGTCGTCACCGAAGACGATGCCGATCGCAGAGTCGATGGCACCCTCGACTGCAGCCTCCAAGCCGTCGGCGCCGACAGGGATCCAGTCGTCCCCGTCCTCACCGTCGCTGCCGCCCTCGCCCTCTCCGCTGCCCTCTGCCTCCGCGCGGTCCTCGGCGCCCGAAGCTCCCTCTCCGTCATCAGAGGATGTCTCGTCTGGGTCGGGGACGCGGCCGCCGTCCGAATCGTCGGCGTCCGAGCTCGAGGAGCTCGACGACGATGAACTCGACGACGTCGAACCCGACGGCGAACCCGATCTGCTCGAAGGCTGGACTGGGTCTGCAGAATGCCTCGCCCGCCCTCTGCCCCTGGATCCGCCACGAGGCCCGCGCCCGCGGCCTCGACCCCGACGGCCCTGACTTGTCCGCCGAGCGCGTGGCCTCTTCAGCTGGGGCCCGAACTCCTCCGACAATTTCCTGACATACAACTTCCACGGCTCGATCAAGTGGACACGTTTGGATATGCCAAGAAACTGCCAAAAACTGATTGTCATATAAGATTTTGGAATAAATGACTTGGCCATCTCCCACAACGAACGACAAAACTGCGTAGGGTCGTGCGTTCGCATGGGCGATATACCCAGGGCCTCTGCATCATCTCTCGAAGAATCTCGCGCCAACTCAACAAGTGTTGGTCCAAATGGCTTCGAATAGTGGAATGCAACATGGAAAAGTGATGCCCATCACCATCGCCAGCGGCCAACGCGGGCCCATCGGAAAACAACTCATCATGAAGTAAGTCGGCTGAAGGGGCATGAGCCGCAAAAAAAGCAAAACGAAGTACAACCTCACCCTTGACGAGAATGGCCCTCGTCTGCTTGCGGTCAGCACTGCGCCACCGCTGAAAAGCAGACTTGATGTGTGCCTCGAACTTAACCGTCGCCCTTGTGAACGCACATCTCAGCATCATGACATCGCCGACGAACGATGGGAATCCTAGGGTGGCAGGGGGGGCAACTGGCAGCCGTCACCGTCTGGTGCATCGCCTCCCAGTCCAAAGCCCTCTGCGCTGCAGACAGATCCCCAGCCGGGCTGATAGCGCGGGCCGAATCGTCAGCAACAAGTTGCGGCCGCCTGCGGTACTTCACAACAGTGCCAGCGTCAACGTCAACATCAGCATCTCCAGTCGGCGCCAATGCAGCATCCACGATCGCAAACGCGCCGTCAGGCGCTGTCCTCCGATCATGTTTGATCGCAGTGCTCGCTCTGCTCACCAATCCAGCAACGGCGTCCTCATGCGAAGCCCGCTGACGCCGAAGAAAGAGGACACGCTTTCTAGCCGCGAATGCGGCCTCCAGAATCGGCGAGGGTACATCTGCGAATGCGGACTGCTCTCGGTGGCCCTCTGCTGGGAGAGCGTCCTGTCGGGGCCGCTGCTGTTGATGCGGCAGGAGGCCCAACGCAGGCACGCCGCGATCGGCAGGTGGAACCGCGTTGGCACGCGGCTTCCTCTCGAAAGCGCGCTCGCCATCACGGTGCCGATCCCTGGCGATCGCAGCGAGCAACCTGAAATGCTCCAGCTCCTCGCCATCCAGCTGCCTGAACTGATCCGACAGCGCGGCGGCCGTCTCCTCATCCAGCCAGCGGCCGTTCACGTGCACAAGCGCTCGCCACATCCAGAACCTCAGGCTGCCCCGCCCGCGCTGAGGCCGGCGACGCGGCCTCGGCGCCCTGGGCTCGCACGCGGCGCGGCCTCGGTCGTGACGTGATGGGTCTGGTCCCAAATCCCCAGCCGAATGAGCTGCAAAATGCGCGCTCATCTCCTCGACAGTCTCAACGTGCGTCCATACCCTGAAACGAGCGTGTCGCTGATTGACCGAATGGAGGCGCTCCACGTCGGCCGTGTCCGTGTCAAGCAGGACAGCGGCGCCCTCGAGCTCGGCCATGGCCGTCGCCGAGCCTTCGGCACCTCTGTAGAAGTTCAAGAAGTTCTCTGTGTATGAATCCAGCAGGCACGGCTCTGTACGCCGCAGCTCGTCGATAACACCAGGATCCTTCAAAGCGTAAAACAATGTCATGGGCCATGAACGGTTTTTCCTGAAAACAAGATGGTACGCTGTAGCCCCCATTCGAGCCAAAAGCCGATAAAGTGTCAACGCAGTCTCTTCAGAACGATATTGCACAGGTGCCCAAGCTGACGAATCGAATATAACGCATACGCGTCCTTGAGCAGGCATCTGGTGTCAGCGTCCTCATACGCCAGCCAAGCTTGGTATGTTCGCGCTTCGCCCCGAGACACCTTAAGCTGCTGCAGCCTTTCGAAGGAAACGCCAGACGTTGCCAACTGCTTCAGCAGGTATGCGTCCGTGAGAGCTACCATGCGGGACGCAATAAACACATCATCCGCCAACCTGCCGCTGCGCATCCACGCCCTGGCGCCGAGGATCCTGACGTTCTGCTCCTCCCTGAACGCGCTGAGCTCATCAGCGCCGTCGCCGTCATCATCGGCCTCGCGCCCAGGAGCTGGGGGTAGCCCTGGAGGCTCGGGACCCCTGTCGTGGCCAGCGGCAGCCAGCTCGTCCGGCTGAGCTCGCGCCTCAGGTTCCTGCTGGCGCCGCCGCTTGGCCTGCCGAGGCTCTGGCACGCCGCGCAAGTAAGCCTGCTGGAGAAGCCCGTGGACTGCAGAAGGAAGGCCGATGCAACGATGGCTCTTCATTTTGTTCGTCCAGTTCGCACGGTTGAGAACGTCCATAGACCCAAACAGCGCAGCCACGCCGTAACGGCGCATCAAAAAAACCGTGTGGTCTCGACTGCGGCAACACCCGTTGCAGTAATGCTCGATGACACCAGTTTTCCAAATGTCGCCGTTGTAGAGCCTCCTGCACACAGCCTCTCTGAACTGGAGACCAGCGTCAGCGGTGTCGCCAAAGTAAAGGTCGAACACAGCCTCCCCGTGAGCCGTTGCCTCGGCAGAACAACACCCCACGCGGACCACAACCTGTTCATCGTGGATGAGCCTGGCGCTGTGCCGCACAGCGATGAGGTGTTCGGAGGACAAAGTCAGCTGACACCGTATCATGTTGCTGTCGGTGGGGCGGAGGACCGCGTAGCCCTGCTCGGCGACCTTCTTTTTACCGTGGGCGCGGCAAATGACCAGAATCTGGGCACGAAGAGGGTGCTGCACGGTCATCATGCGCTCGTTCTTCAGGTTGCTTCCTGCGCCGTCGCACATGATGACATCCACTTGCCGAGGGATCCGCTCATCCACCAGTCTGTCATACACCTGGTCCAGCTGCCGATGCAAACACGTATTGATGATCTCCGCAATCGGCGACCCTAGCACACCAATGTGCGTGGGGGTGTTGGCAATGACATGGAGGAAGTCGTCTCTGTCTCCGAAACGCTTGCGTAGCACCATGTTGAAGCCAGCTTTGATGACAAACAGCTCTCGTGTGCCAGCACATCGCTCGACGATGGTGTCGGTGTCATACTGCTGGGCGACCTGAGTGGTCACTCGGCTGCGCGTGCCGTCGTATTTCCTCTTGCGGAAGAAAATGACAGCATCCGTCCGAGGGCCGCCAGCAGCCAGTGGGCAGCGCGACGCCTTGCAGACGGCCAGGAGTCTCGGCACGATGGCAGCAACATGCCTTCGGCCAGTCATCCACGCGGCGTGCCCAACAGCATACACCTTCTCGCGAAATCGACTCGCGAAGAGGCCGAGTCGAGAAGACAATCGCGAAGCGCTCTCCAAGCCAACTGGCTGCGAGGTGTCTGGGTACACCCGCTGAATCATCACAGTCGCCACGCTGGCAATGGGGTCGGTCGGGCCGACGGCGGCGCGCTGCCCCAAGGGCGGCCCTGCTGCGGCCTGGCGCTCCGCCAACGGCAGCGCAGTGTCCCGCGGCTCCAGTGCCACGATAGCGCCTCCCTCCGCGAGCCCTGGCGGCACGTCAGCCGCGCCCAGCCAGTTCTCCTCTTGAGTGCAGCTGTCCTCGCCCGCCCTCGCGGGCGGCGGCGCCTCCAGCGCAGGCGTCGGCACGCTGAGAGGGCTGAACTCCTCGTCGCTGAGCCACTGCTCAGGCGAGGGAGACGCCATGACTCGAGAAGTCGCACAGGCCGTAAACGGTTTGATAAAAAAATGGTTACGGTGGAAGGGGCGTCAACTCTCGGAATCGCATGTCAACGTGAGAACTGTTGCGATTGTTGATGTTTGCACGCGTGTTGGCTGCATCGCACCAGCATCTTACCTACTCGGCACCAAGGGTTGCACCACATAGGTTGCACCGCGCGTAGGCCGTCATGTAAGGCCATACTTCTCTACTTACTATTTAGGCTCCAAGCAGGAACCCCAAGGGAGGCACCACAAGAGGGGACCCAAGGGGAGGCGCCTTGAGGGGCAGGGGCCCGATAGGGGGTCAGGCAGGAACCACTGAGAAGCCCCAAGGGAATCCGAAGGAGGGGCCCAAACAGCTTCGCACGCACTGTAAGTGCACACACAGCGGCTCGCGTTGTTCCTAACATTAAGTTTAAATTGTATTGTGTGTGTTTGATGGTATGTAAGGCCACCCCAAATTGTGATCAACTTGTGTTGGGGGCGTTGGCCTACCCATCAGACCCCCAACTCGAAATAGACAAGCGGCGTGTTCATCCCATCGAACTATCAACCTTGAAAGCGCAACCTGGGGGGCATCAAACCCCATCAAATGAAGTAATACACGATAGACAAGGCGGGTAAGTCTCAACTCAAAAATTGAAAAATCCGCCCCCAGACTATTTTCTTACTATTTTTGGATACTCCTCCTGCGGAGGGACAGGCCCGACTAATGCAATGCCGCGTCCGACCGACTGCCGGCCGTGATGCGCCTCGGCAGCCGCTGCGGCGGGGCCGCCGCCGCGGCATCCGGCCCTCGGGCTGACGCCTGGCCGGCGGACGCGCTCGCCGGCGGGCCGGGCCCTCGTCGGCGGCCCTCGGCGGCCTCTCGGCAGCCTCTCGGAGTCGGCGTCACCGACGTCGCAGCCGTCTTCGCCCTCGTCGCCGTCGCGTGCCCTGCAGCCGGGGATGCGGGAGGAGCGAGGAAGGAAGGGAGAGGACGGGGGGGGGAGGGACGCGCCTTCGGCAGCTTGCCTCTGCCTCCGATTCGGCTGCCCCTCGGCCGAACTCGCTGGAGGGGGAGGGGGTGAGGGCGGGAGGACGGAAGGAGCTGCCGCGGCAGCAGGTGGCGCTTAAATCCGTGGAGCTCTGGCCACCACCTACGCTCTTGTGAGTGCTCAGGGGCAGGTCCACACGAGGAAAAGCAGTGCGCTTTTCTGGGTGCATGTCGCTCTGGGTGCGGACTTCGGGGGGGAAAGGGAGGGAACTCACAAAATTATCCCCGAACCCTACAACCCCTGGACCCCACAGACCTGTGAATATCCATGCGTCAAGACACGTCGCGACTTGGCGCTTGTCCAGGAAGCCTCTCGCGAGGCAAAGAACTGAACAAAAACATGTGTAAATAGTTATCCCCGAACTCTTTCCACGTCGCCCGCCATGCCCGCAATCGCGCCGGCGCGCAACCGTTCCTGCTCCGCGTCCCCCAGCAAAATGACGAGCCCTAGCCCCAAGTAAACCAACCATAGTTTGGCGAGTTGCAGCCTGCTCAACACACGGCGCGCCAGCGTTTGAGCCAAGGGCGCACGCGCGCCTCCAAACAAACGGCGCGCAACGTGCGGACTGTTTCCCTCGGACACGGGTCAGGATAAATATTTCGCTGCGGATCTCCATGCGCACGATCGGATGTCGTAGCGGCATAGCAGTACATGGCATAGCATGGTGTCGAAGACTAACGCGTAGCATGACACAGCATGGCGTGGCGACGCCCCACGGGGGGGTGGCCGGCCAAAAAAATCAACGAATCGACACCGAATGTGTAATCACTTCCGATGGTTTATTCGGGAGGCCATTTTCTAAATTTCGTGGCCAATTTGGAAGGACCGAATACCATGCCGTGGCATGGCGCAAGAAAATCATGACGCCAGCCCAAGAGCACGAGTCGGAACGAGCGGAAACGAGGCCAACGCTGCAGCGAGAGCACGATTCGGAACGACCAGTAGCCCGAACAGGAGGCCAGCGCTTCAGCGAGAGCAGCATATCGAAAAAAACAAGCGCGGAAAATGAGGACGCGTAGCCTGACATAGCATGGCGTGGCAACGCCCCAAAGTGTGGGAGGGTTCTGCGGCCCAAAAAATAAGCGAACGAGACCGAATGTGTAATCACTTCCGATGGTTTATTCGGGGGTCCATGTTCTAGATTTTGGAGCCCGTTTGGAGGACCGAAACCCATGCCGTGGCATGGTGCTGGAAATACGGACTCCATCGCTGCAGCGGGAGCACGATTCGGAACCAGCAGAAGCGCGGAAATGAGGCCAGCGCTGCAGCGGGAGCACGATTCGGAACGAGCGGTAGCCCGAACATGAGGCCAGCGCTTCAGCGAGAGCAGCATTTTGAAAAACAAAAAAAAAAAACGATATTATCCGAGCGAAAGACCCACCGTAAACAATTGTTCGTAACGCATTGTGGGTGCCGCTTTCGATGGGGCTCCCTATGGGGCCACGAAGCGCTGCCTTGGGTGGGGGGAACCGCATGCGAGAGCAGCCGCCGGGGCCTTCGGTGGAGCCCCCTTTATGGGGCCACGAAGCGCTGCCCTGGGTGGAGGAACCGCATGCGAGAGCAACCGCTGGGGCCTTCGGTGGAGCTCCCTATGGGGCTACGAAGCGTTGCCCAGGGCGGGGGAAACGCATGCCATAGCAGCCACTGGGACCTTCGGTGGAGCTCCCTATGGGGCCACGAAGCGCTGCCCACGGTGGGGGAACCGCATGAGAACACCCCCACTGGGGCCTTCGGCAGAGCTCCCCATGGGGCTACGAAGCGCTGCCCTGGGTGGGGGGACCCGCATGCGAGAGCAACCACTGGGGCCTTCGGTGGAGCTCCCTATAAGGCCACGAAGCGCTGCTTTGGGCGGGGGAACCGCATGCGAGAGCAGCCACTGGGGCCTTCGGTGGAGCCCCCTATGAAGCCGCGAAGCGCTGCCCTGGGTGGGGGAACGCATGCGATAGCAGCCACTGGGGCCTTCGGTGGAGCCCACTGGGGCCATCGGCGGAGCTCCCTATGGGGCCACGAAGCGCTGCCCTGGGTGGGGAACCGCATGCGAACACCCCCACTGGGGCCATCGGCGGAGCTCCCCATGGGGCTACGAAGCGCTGCCCTGGGCGGGGGAACCGCATGCGACCCCCCCGTTGGGGCCATCGGCGGAGCTCCCTATGGGGCCACGAAACGCTGCCCTGGGTGGGGGAACCGCATGCGACCCCCCCCCACTGGAGCCATCGGCGGAGACCCATATGGGGCCACGACACGCTGCCCTGGGTGGGGGAACCGCATGCGACCCCCCCACACTGGGGCCATCGGCGGAGCTCCCTATGGGAACACGAAACGCTGCCCTGGGTGCGGGAACCGCATGCGAACACCCCCACTGGGGCCATCGGCAGAGCTCCCCATGGGGCCACGAAGCTCTACCCTGGATGCGGGAACCGCATGCAAGAGCAACCACTGGGGCCTTCGGTGGAGCTCCCTATAAGGCCACGAAACGCTGCCTTGGGCGGGGGAAACGCATGCCATAGCAGCCACTGGGGCCTTCGGTGGAGCCCCCTATGAAGCCGCCAAACGCTGCCCTGGGTGGGGGAACCGCATGCGATAGCAGCCACTGGGGCCTTCGGTGGAGCCCACTGGGGCCATCGGCGGAGCTCCCTATGGGGCCGCCAAACGCAGCCCTGGGTGGGGAACCGCATGCGAACACCCCCACTGGGGCCATCGGCTGAGCTCCCCATGGGGCCACGAAGCGCTGCCCTGGGTGGGGGAACCGCATGCGACCCCCCCGCTGGGGCCATCGGCGGAGACTTATATGGGGCCACGAAGCGCTGCCCTGGGTGGTGGACCGCATGCGACCCCCCCCCCCCCCACTGGGGCCATCGGCGGAAACCCATATGGGGCCACGACACGCTGCCCTGTGTGGGGGAACCGCATGCGCTTCCCTCCCCGCTGGGGCCATCGGCGGAGCTCCCTATGGGGCCACGAAACGCTGCCCTGGGTGCGGGAACCGCATGCAACCCCCCCCCCCCCACTGGGGCCATCGGCGGAGCTCCTTATGGAATCACGAAACGCTGCCCTGGGTGGGGGAACCGCATGCGACCCCCCCCCACTGGGGCCATCGGCGGAGCTCCCTATGGGAACACGAAACGCTGCCCTGGGTGCGGGAACCGCATGCGCCCTCCCCTCACTGGGGCCATCGGCGCAGCTCCCTATGGGGTCACGAAACTCTACCCTGGGTGCGGGGACCGCATGCGACCCCCCCCCCCCCCCACTGGGGCCATCGGCGGTGTTCCCTATAGGGCCACGAAGCGCAGCCCTGGGTAGGGGGAACCGCATGCGCATGCGACCCCCCCCCACTGGGGCCATCGGCGGAGCTCCTTATGGGGACACGAAACGCTGCCCTGGGTGGGGGAACCGCATGCGACCCCCCCCCACTGGGGCCATCGGCGGAGCTCCCTATGGGGCCACGAAGCGCTGCCCTGGGTAGGGGGAACCGCATGCGATCCCCCCCACTGGGGCCATCGGCGGAGCTCTCTGTGGGGACACGAAACGCTGCCCTGGGTGGGGTAATCGCATGCGCCCCCCCACTGGGGCCTTCGGTGGAGCTCCCCATGGGGCCACGACACGCTGCCCTGAGTGGGGGAACCGCATGCGACCCCCCCCCCCACACTGGGGCCTTCAGTGGAGCTCCATATGGGGCTACGAAACGTGTGAGAGGTGTACCGAGAGTAGAGGCAAGGAGGGGGAGGAGCGAGGAGGGAGAGGGGGAGGAGAAAGGAGAGACGCGGGGCACCGTCTCTTGAAAACGAAGAGCCAGCACCACAGGATGGTTGGGAAAATCAACCGAAATCCCAACTCCCAGGAATCCTGTGTGTAATTAGCCTGGCGAAGGACCCAACCATATGCAGCTGCGAGTACCGCACGGATATGAGACGAAGGAGGGGGCACGCAAACTAGGCCCCTCTTCTCATAGGCACCGCGCCACTGGGGCCTTCGGTGGAGCTCCCTATGGGGCCACGAAACGTGTGAAGGGTGTGCCGAAATGGGTGGTGGGGAGGCATGCGGACCCTGCCACTGGGGCCTTCGGTGGAGCTCCCTATGGGGCCACGAAACGTGTGAGGGGTGTGCCGAAATGGGTGGTGGGGAGGCATGCGAACGCAGCCACTGGGGCCTTCGGTGGAGCTCCCTATGGGGCCACGAAACGTGTGAGGGGTGTGCCGAAATGGGTGGTGGGGAGCCACTGGGGCCTTCGGTGGAGCTCCCTATGGGGCCACGAAACGTATGAGGGGTGTACCGAAATGTGTGGTGGGGACGCATGCGAACGCAACCACCACTGGGGCCCTTCGGTGGAGCTCCCTATGGGGCCACGAAACGTGTGAAGGGTGTGCCGAAATGGGTGGTGGGGAGGCATGCGGGCCCTGCCACTGGGGCCTTCGGTGGAGCTCATTATGGGGCCACGAAACGTGTCAAGGGTGTGTCGACATGGGTGGCGCGGACGCATGCGAACCCTGCCACTGGGGCCGTCGGTGGAACTCCCACTGGGGCCACGAAACGTGTGAGGGGTGTGCAAAAGTGGGTGGGGGCGGCATGCGAACCCTGCCACGGGGGCCTTCGGTAGAGCACCCTATGGGGCCACGAAATGCGTGAGGGGTGTGCCAAAGTGGGGTGTGGGCGGCATGCGAACCCTGCCACTGGGGCCGTCGGTGGAGCTCCCTACGGAGCCGCGAAACGGGACGTGTGAGTGGTGTGCCAAAGTGGGGCGGGGGGCGGCATGCG